TGCACCGAACGGCGCAGCGCGCTGGTGCGCCGCAAGTATGATATATATGTTTTTTTTGGTCTTTTTTTTTTCTCGACTGCGCCCTATGACTGTGGTCGCCGCTGGCACGACCGCGGCCCTCGGCCATGGCCATGAGGCCGCGGTTTTCGGCGGCCCGCCGCTGTCGAGGGGAAAAGGGGTTGGGGAAGGGGGTTGCGGATCGGGGTTCCGAAACCCGACTCCACCCCCTTGAACAAAAAGAAGTTAAAAAATATTTTTGGGGGGGGTGTTTCTTTGGTGCGTGAAACAAAATATATACAAAAATAGAAAAAAAAAAATTGATCGATTGATAGATTGATTGATTGATTGATTGGTTGATTGGTTGATTGATTGATTGATTGATTGGTTGATTGGTTGATTGATTGATTGATTGATTGGTTGATTGGTTGATTGATTGATCGATTGATTGATTGATTGATTGATTGGTTGGTTGATTGATTGATTGATTGATTGATTGATTGATTGATTGGTGGGGGAGGGGCCCTCCTTCCCCTCCCCCCAGCACACGGGCACACACACACACACACACACACACACACACACACACACACACACACACATACATGCCCCATACATATTTTAGGATTACCCCTCTGAGGGGCATTGGATTTGATTAGCCGCCGTAATAGCCAGGGATTTCCGGAGCTAAATATTTTGTATTTTTATTTTTATTTTTATTTTTATGTTTGTTTTTTGTAGCCCTTTGGCGCATGGGTCGAATAGGTGGGAGGCCTTATGAAAATTGTGAAGGCCCCTCCTTTTTCCGCTTCAGGGAGGAGAGCCCTCCCGCCCTTGGCCGACTGGTGTTCCCACCCTAGCACCAAGTACTGCAAGGAGCATTACCCCGTTTTTTTCGGGTATTTAACTAATCCGCCGCCCTCATTCCTCCTCTCCTTGTTGAGTGATTGGGTGATGCACTGTGTGGCTTCGCACGCCCGGCCCGGTTGGTGCCGTTCGGGAACACCGACGGTCTGTTGCGGCGATTCCACCCACTGCTTCCCCGGTTAGGCTCTCTTCATCCCCGCCCAACTGCGCTACCTTCGGCCCGGGACTTTTTACGATTGCCATAGCTGCTTTTCTGGGACTTGCGCTCTTGCTTTGCGGAGGATGCTTGCTGGCACATTTACACGGGTTGCGCCTTGTTGGTACCCAAGTACGTGCAGCCATTGATTAACCATATCTGCACACTATTTGCCGCGTTGAGCTAACAGCTTGGGATACGGCTTAGGGGGATCCATGCTGAGTTTCTTACCTGTTGTACGACACTTGGAGTGGAGTGAACGTGGGGATACGCAACGCTGCAGGTAGCGACGTCTGTCCGTAGACGCACCATGGCCCCGGACGTGGTAATGCTTCCTGCACCCTTTTGTCCCTCCCCCCACCCCCTTCCCCCCCTTTCCCCCACCCAGCACCCATGGATGAAAGCATTCACTCCCGTTGCTGTTTGCTCCTTCCGTATCTCATAACTGGTCTCGTTGTCTATTGGAACCTGGGCCATGCCCAATCAAGGTACCTGACAATGTCCCTTTTGGTATGATATGAGGGAGGTTTTGTTCTCTGAAGATCCAACAGGATGGAAGTCGGTGAAAAGTACTTAAGGGCGCGTTCCATCACCCTTTCCGCATATATCGGCGCATCTGGGTCGCTCGACCGAATTGGGACCTCTCCTCTTTTCCTTTTCCCCTTCCCCCCACCAAATTTACTCTCCCTCCCCCTGTGTTATCATACTCCACTGATTAATGCTACTCACCCTGTTTTTCTCAATCCACTCGTTGTGATTGCATGTGCATGCCATGTGTGTTGTTTGATGATGTGTTGTCGTAGGCCCTTTTGTACGCCTCGCCGTTGAGATTCGATTAACGAATACGGCAGCCCGTTTCAGAATGGATCTGTTGGTGGCCACTCACATGGCGTCCGTCTTCGTAATGGCCTTCATGGCTTACTTAGCTTTTCTAACGTTCCTCGATCTCCAGTTGATTCGCTCGTCCCAAATCGGTGAATGCTTTCGTAACTCGTTGTCCTTTCCCCTTCCCTCGAGATGGTGTAATCATGAGAAGGCATCTAGGGTCTGTTCCTCCGGGATTGGCTACAGGTAGAGGGACTCAAGGGAAGGTTTGGATTTGGTTTCTGCCGGCCCGAAATGGAGGTTACAAGGATTCTCGTGCCCTTTCCCCTTCCTTCGGTTTTTCTCCTCTGCTTCCCCCTCTTCCTTTCCACCATCCTCTTGTATTATTGGTTGTAGCCACATGGTCTGCCTGCTCCTAACACGCAACGGTCTGCACAATGACCCCCCCTATTCTTTCTTTCCCATGCTTTCTAGGCTTGATCGCTTCGTCCTTTTGGCTATCTGGGTACAACATCTGCCTCTTGGCAGTAATGACTGCCCTCCTTTGGCGACATTTTTGACCGATGTGCTCTCCAGTAATGCTTCGCCCGGTCTGACACCATGCAGGGGTTTGTATCGGAGTTTCCGACGTTTTTTCTGTGCTCAAGGGTGAGAGGTGTGCGTTGAGGAGGGATGATGCTCCGGGTGTGACACGTGTTTGGTATTTGTAGGGCTGTTTGATCTAAGGAGGTGCGAACGAGTGATGGACTAAGGGTGGGGGTGAGAGGGGCTAGGATGAGGTGTACGGGGCCTTACTCGAATCGCTGGTTGATTGGGGAAGGTGTGTTGATGGTGATGGACGATTGTAATCCATTGCCACGACTTATTCTGCATGATGTCGGGAACACGTAATCAAGCTTGTAGTACTTCTTGCGGTACTTGTGGGGCTGTTTGATCCAGGAAAGCGCGGGCAAGTGATGGACTGAGGGTGGAAAGGGGGCAGGATGAAGTGGACGGAGGCTTGCTCGGATCGCTTGGTGTCGAGGTTAAGATTGGGAAATATGTGTCGAGGGTGGCAACCGGTTGTGATCCATTGCCATGTTTTGTTCTACTCAATTCTCGTATCTTTGCATATGGCTTAATCGCTTAACTTCGTCATCTGCTGATTCACTTGGTATAGCCGGATTATCACGAGGACTGGAGGCAGTGGAGGGTTCGGTGTTTGCTGGAGAGAGGTCCAGTATAGAGAGTTTTACCGAGCTTGTTCGCATTGCGACGATTACGGCTTATTTACGCTCTCAGTTGCCCTGTTCTTAATCACCATCATCGACCGCACGACTCCTACCGGAGTGATGAAATGAGTGTTTTGCTGAGAAACGGAACCGGTAAGGTGCTTAGGGGACGAATGTGTGTCGCCTGGTGAAGGAGTGGGATGCGAATTCACAAAGCGTCCCTTGATCTACCACACACATTCCCCCGGATCAAGCCATTCGCAACTCACAAGTTTCTGACGATTAGAAGGTTGCTCCTTCTATACGATGCTGATGAAGGGTAGGATGGATGGGCGTGAGCAACGAAATTCACGAGGGAATGGTTTGTGGATCCAGCCTCCTAATGTCACTTTTTTAGTGACTTCGAAGTACCTACCTATCGTCGACGATCGGAGTTGTTAATTTCAAGCATGAGTGTGCCGATGTGTGCTATGAATTTGGAAATTGTGTTCTGACTTCTTTTTCGGACCAATGCATGATGCTCTTCATAAGTTGGGAGTAGCCCGCGCTTTTTACATTTGATGAATATGCTTGTGCTCTCTCTTCTTATCGAAATATTCTTACCCGTTTTAGGATTGGTATGGACCTCCTTATCAAGGATACATTGGTCTGCTCACTTTGGTTTGGATGGCTTTATTCTGAAGGGGTGTATGTATGTCCATTTTTCCTCATACATGGAGCATGATGGTAATTGGAACGCTTCTTGGCCTTTGTCTTTTCTCCTATCACTCAACTGTCATTTAGTATGGCAATCTCCGTGATGCACTGTGGCTCTTGTTTTCCGGGTGTTATTTTTGTATGGCACGATCCATGACGCAACATGTTGTGACACGGTCGCAAGAGCCACGCATTACAAAATAAAACACACACCCACACACGCACACGCACACGCGCACACAGACACACACACACACACACACACACACACACACAGAGGTATGGGCGTGGGTGTCATGTCGAATACGTGCAGATTCGACTGTGATTACACACTGGGGTCTAAAAGACCGCTTCAGAAATGGACCTAAGGGCACCCCGCTCTAAGTTTTTTCCCAAGGAAAAAGACAAGGCGCTAAATTAAATCCATTGTTCTTGTTTTCCTCCTGTTTTTCCTTTTTTCTTTTTTCTTTCCTTCCCCCTTTTCTCTTTTTTTCCCGTTGAAATATTTTTTTCTTTAGTTTCCTTTTTTCCTTTTTTTTTTTTCCCTTCTTTCTTTTTAGCGCACAGCGTGCAGCTACATCGAAAAGAATCCTGGTCCACAGCAAGTAACCGACGATCCAAAAAGACGGCGCGACTGAGATGAGGATCTGATCCCCTGATTGGAAGGGGCGCAGCGCTACCGGGAGCGCTGCGCCCCAGCAACATTATTCATCAATTAAGGTTACCGCCACAGAGAGGAGCCGCGCGCGCTGGAAAACTGCACGCAGCAAGGAAAATAGCGCGCGCGCGCTCAACGATTGTGCGCGACTGGGCGCGCGCCCTGAGCTGTAAATTGGATTACCGGTGGTCTACGTCGAGGAGCTGAGGTGGTCCAAATTTCAGATCAAATGGTCCAGTGGATCATGAGATATCGAAGATTTAGGGCGCGCCATGAAATTCGAGTGTGTGCTGGGCGAAGCTGTGAGATGATTGAGGGGGTGAATACTTCACCTCTCTATCTCCTAACATTTGAAAGTATTTGTAGTGCCATCTCGCTGTCTTGTGCCTATCACGAGGAATGCTACGAGCTAGGATGCCGTGTAAGGGGGAGCAAGTTTTTCTTACTTCAAGAAGAATCATTAATGCTCTTCATCTTGCATATTTTGGTGGAGGAGGTCGGCTCGGTGCAAGAGGGAGGAGAGTACAGTGTGTCCCATGAGATGGGAGGACGAATGGAGGGAGATAAGGAGGGAAGTGATCTTCAGGTTCTCAACTCGTATCCAGTGCTTTTTTTTTTAAGAAATGTTTTGCGTCATCTTATCGGGACAACATCAGTTAGTAAGCGGGCTTCTTCATCAGCATGTTCGTCAGCAATAACTTCATCATCAGCTCGTAAGAGGGCATCTTCATCACCAGTTTTGGTTTTATCATCGCCGTCATCATCATCATCATCATCATCATCATCATCGGCGGTTGTCATCATCATTGTTATCATCATCATCATCATCATCATCATCATCATCATCATCATCATCATCTCATCATCATCATTATCATCACCAGCATCATCGTCATTATCATCATCATTAGCATCGCCATCATCATCATCATCATCAGCTACATTATTGACATCATCATCATCTTTATGAGCATCTTCATTGGTGCGTCATCATCATCATCATCATCATCATTGGTGCGTCGTCATCATCATCATCATCATCATCATCATCATCAACATCAGCATCATCATTATCGTCATCATATACTCATCATTATGATGATGAGTATTATCATCATTATTAGTTTGTTATTATTAGATGTTGTTCTTCAAGGCATCGTTCGCCTTTCACATCAGCAGGTAAGAGGGTCGTCATTATCTTCCTCATTATCTTTATCTTCAGCGTGCTGTTCTTCGTCATCGACAAAATCCAAGCGAATGTCATTTTGGTGAGGGGGGAGAGCCCAGCTCTGCAGGGGTTTCATTAGGTGGGTGGTGAAACCCTGGAGGGGGCACGGGCAGATTGTGAGGATTACTCTTTTCTGGGGCTGGGCTTCAAATCCGAGCGGGGGCAGATTAGGGTAAAGGGATAGACAGGGGAGTGGAGAGAATGGAGGAAGGAAGGGAGAGTAGGGATTTTTTATGAATCATCTCATCAACAAAATCTTCATCATCATCATCAGCATCCGTGTTATATCATGCTTTCTGGTGTGTTGTAATTCTCGGCGGTATCTGGCCTCCTTCTGTAATCGGGATAATGAGATTTTAGAGATGATTGAATCTGGACCGATATCTACAGAGTTGCTTTGTCTTTGCCCCTGGTTTGGCGATGCCAGAACGACGCTGGCCGGTGCTGGGGCAGTGCCCTGTAACCTGCAATTTGGCAGGAGTGTGAGGCCTTGTAGAGAGATCTGGGGATTTGTCGAGGGAGGAAGGCAATCCAGTGGCGAACCGGGGGGGCTGCCTTGACAACCTATGGGGCCAGGGATAGTCTAGGTGGCGAGAACAGGTCAGGTCAGCTATGGTAGACATTGGTAAGGAGGGTATTGTCTCTGAGATGTAATGTCCTGGTGCAGGGAGGGCTGGGAAGGTTCGAGGATTAGGAGGCCAGAAGTGCTGCTATAACATAGTCTTTTATATTTTCTATATTTTCTATTTTCTATTTACTAATCATCATACTCATCATTATCATAATCATCATCATCATCATCATCGCATCATTTGATTCATTAGTATCAACATTTGATTAATGATATATTAAGCTTTTTGGTGTTCTGAAATTTTGACAGCATCTAGCATTCTTCCACATCCAGAATATAGGACTTCAAAGATGATTGAACCTGGACTAATATCTACTGAGTTGCTCTGTTCTGTGCCCTTGGTTTGCCGATGCCAGAACGACGCTGGCCGGAGCTGGGGCGTTGCCCTGTAACCTGCAAATGGCAGGAGTGTGAGGCCTTGTAGAGAGATCTGGGGTTTGCTGAGGGTGGAAGGCATTCCAGTGGTGAACCGGGGGGGGCTGCAAGGTGGCGAGAAGAGATCAGCTAAGGTTGACGTTGGGTAGGTTGGTTTTGTCTCTGAGGTACAGTGTTCTGGTGCAGGGAGGGCTAGGAGTTGTTCTAGGATTAGGAGGCCAGAATAGCTGATATAGCATAATCTTTTATATTTTTTCATATATTTGAATCTAACATCATTATCTGTGGTATCATCAGTATCATCAGGGTCATCATCATAACTATTTGAGGGACCCTGAGCCCTGTTCTCAGCAGTTTTCGGTTTGATCACTCCCGGTAGATTGTGAGGACCCCGGCCTCAATCTGATTATTGGTAATATCAA